TTTTAACTTTGTTTTTGAAAAATCATGTTTTATTGCCTTGTTTCCCATAAAGAAATATGTTACCCAGACATCCTAAAGCGAGCTCCACCCATCAGAAACATCACGGTTACCATAGAGATTCAGGCAGTGTGGTTTGGTGCCAGAAAAGCACTGTCAGATATGAAGAGTTGATTTAGGGATCCAGAGGAGAAGAGAGTTCAGACTGAAAATCAGAATCCGTGTAGTGGAGTTGAGTGTGTGTGTGTGTGAGGGGGTCAGTGTGTGTGTGTGTGAGGGGGTCAGTGTGTGTGTGTGTGTGAGGGGGTCAGTTTTGGCAGTGTTAGCATCAAAGACAGCACCAACAGGACTCTGAAGGGTTTTACAGGTGAATATGATCATCAGCTCCACACAGATCCTGCCATGATGTCACACTTCAAAATAAATAAACAATGAGTAAATTTCACCTCCGCATTTAACCCATCTGTGCAGTGCAACACCACATACACACTAGGGGGCAGTGAGCACACTTGCCCGGAGCGGTGGCCAGCCCTATCCACAGCACCCAGGGACCAGTTGGGGGTTAGGTGCCTTGCTCAAGGGCACCTCAGTCACCTATTGTCGGCTCAGGGCATCAAACCAGCGACCTTCCGGTCACAAGGCTGGTTCCCTAACCTCCAGCCCACGACTGCTCATAAACACCAATTAGAGACAAGAATGGCCTGAACTATGTAATAATAAAGTTACCAGCCAATGTGAAAGGTGTATGATTTATTTCCCAGATTTGTCTCTGCTTTGTTTCAGGAATGGTAGAAAAGTTGGAAATAAGATAAATTATTAAAAATGATGGTGAATTTTGGGCATTGTCCATAGACTGTGCGGTGTGCTAAGAAGCAGGAATTCGCTTTGTAGAGAGTTCAGAGGACAGGCGGGTGAGAAAAGTACCATGGCCGAGCATTCAACAAGCAAGAGCAGAAGGAAAGAAGGCCTACACTTGCGGTCAATTTGCTTTTATAGAAGGGAAGCAAGTTTTCAGTAGGTAACTTCAGACAGCAAAGAGTGAGAGAAGTGCTGTTGAGGGGCCTGCGCATCATTTTCACATGAATCTAAGCCTAACTCGTAGGGGACCAGGACAATTGTTCTGTTTAATTATTTTCTACATGAACATCTGTGTTGCGCTGTATAGTTACCCATTTGAGTTATATTCTCATTAATATCACAGCTATTATTTTGGTCACTATTTTTATAGATGTCCAGGGAATATCGTTACCTACCAGAGTGATGTTAATGGCCATTGGCTGGTAGCAGTGATAAATGTGGAAGGTGTATAGTTTTGGTGAATGTTTGTGGATGTAATAGTAGAAGACAGAACAAAAGCTCAAGGAGCATATAAAAGCTCTAAAGCCAAAGGGAAGGAAGAAGGTGAAAGAATCACAGTGTATTTCTGCCAATTAAAAAAAGAAAAGACGAGAGAAATAAAATTAATAGAGTAATAATTAATAATATGAGAATTACAGAGTCAAAATTCATATCTGAGGAAATATATTCATTCTTTTGAAATCTTTACTCTGATAAATATATATATATATATATGTGTGTGTGTATATATATATATATATGGACATTTTATATATGCTGAGATCAGTAATGAGAAAACATGCAACACAATGTATTATGAATTGCACTGCAATTAATTTGATTTAATATTTATTGTATGGATGTCAAATTTCACATCTTTTCATATGATTTTCAACTGCTTTTAGTATTTTCTTTCTTTTAAATATAAACTATATGTACTGAGAATGAAGATCTTTTTTTTTGTTTATTTTAATATATTTAAGAAAACACACACATACCCTGATGCTAATTTTTATCTAGCACAGTGTCAGCAAAATTGTCGAAGAGGCCTAGTCAGGACATCAGGCCTGGTCATTATTTTATTCTCTCTCTAAGTTGTTTGTTAATATTTGTAAGTTCATGCTCCAAAATAAAAGTCCCCTGTGCACTTAAAAACTAGTTATAGCTTGTTTACACACACATTTACACACTCATCTAAACCGTTTATCCGTAGAGCTATATTGTAAGACGTTAAACAACATGCACATTTTTTCTCACACAACCAAAATTTCCAAACTGACAAAATAACGACGAAAAAAAAATCCATCTGTCCATCTTTTATTAATTTAAAAGCGATTGGTTATAGCATGTCACGGACATGATGTGAGAGACTCTTACATGTGCAGTGACAGTTGTTTGATGTCAAATGTTTTCAGACAGAGGAGGGTCTGCTGATTTCATTTCACTGTGGGTTTGTGTTGACTCTGTGTGCTGTTTAGGCAGTAGACAGTTAAAACTATTCATTATTAATATAATACAGCAGGCCATAAGGCACGTAATGCCTACAGTATTAGGGACTCCTACATGTGCAGTAACGTAAAACCATGGTGTTAAACCATAAAGTGTTCTATACTATTTTAAAGAAGTAAATTATTAATATGCATATTCAATAATAATAACTTAAAGGCATTGGGCGCTTGAGACTTTTATTCTGAAAAAAACCTACTTAGCGATAGGCTCGCTAAGTTAGTGTTGTTATTTTGGCAACTGGGTTTCAGCACAATTTTCTTCAGCCTGTTAATCTCCTGCACTGTGAACTGTTCTTCACCTTCAGAATCAGAATCAGAACCAGAATACTTTATTGATCCCAGAGTAAAACTGCAGTTGTTTCAGTTGGACCATTAATGTAAAAGAATAAACACTCTAATAATTTAAAACGGAGGAATTTACAATATGTACTCCTTTATATTCTTACAAATACAGTAAAATGACAGTGGCTATGATAATAAATAATATAAAAACAGTGTGTAAAGCAGTTCAAATTATTGCACCTCTGAGTTTTTGTACACAACAGTCCAATTTAGTATTGAATATTGCACAGATGAACCGTAGTGTCACACATTGAGGGAGGAGCTATAGAGTTTGGTGGCCACAGGTAAGAATGACTTCCTGTAGACTCTGTAGTGCATTTTGGTAGAATGAGTCTTGCACTGAATGTGCTCCTGTGACTCATCACTGTGTCGTAGAGTGTCCTTCACCATCGCTCTGTACTCGTCCTCATCACCTCTGCTGATACATCCAACTATTGCAGAGTCATCAGAAAACTTCTGAAGGTGGCAGGTCTCTGTGCAGTAGCTGAGGTGTTCGAGGTGTAGAGGGTGAAGAGGAAGGGAGAGAGGACAGTTCCCTGCGGGGCTCCAATGTTGCTGACCACTCTGTCCGACACACAGTGCTGCAGGTGTAAATACTGTGGTCTGCCAGTCAGGTAGTCAACAATCCAGGACACGAGGGAGGCATCTACTTGCACCACTGTCAGCTTATCACCCAGAAGAGCAGGCTGAATGGTGTTAAATGCACCGGAGAAGTCAAAAAACATGACCCTCACAGTGCTGGCTGGCTTATCCAGGTGAGCGTAGACTCAGGTTGAGCAGGTAGATGATGGTGTCCTCAACTCCCAGGCGGGTCTGAAGGCCCTCTTTTTGTTGTTAAGGAGAGCTTTAACGTCCTTTGTTACCCACAGCTTGTTGTTTGGGTAACATTTAACAGTTCTGGTTGGGACAGTGGCATCCACACAGAAGTTAATGTAGTCCGTGATGCATTAATTCATTCCTCATAATTGCTTGACCTGACTCAATAAACAGCTTGCGATCAGAAAACTGATCTTCAACCAAGTATATGCACTCCTTCAGAATCATCCAATGCACAGAAACCAGTGTCCTCTCCTTGTTTCTCGCTCCGCACTCCTGCCACTCGCTGTGCCTCCCCTTTACTGTCACCAGTCTTAGCCCACTTCATTTTTCTTTTACCAGAGGGAGCTTTAAAAACAGTCTCCTCAGCCACAGCTTCTGTGTCCATACTCTATTCTCCTAAAACAGATCCCATAGCAGCAATAGCTGCCGCACCAACCCCGACATGAGCATTAGTATTACGTTTACTCCTTTGAGGCTCTGAACACTCCAGTCCCACATCTGTCTCACTATTGAGTCTAACAGCAGGTTCAGCTGCTCTACCTCCCTCCCCATCCTGTGTCTGTGTATCAGGGTCTGCGTCAGCCACACTGCCTGCCCTGGGATCTGCAGCACTCCGCTCAGCTGTACTGGGCCCAGCTTCTGTATCAGAGGCCTGGCCTGCGTTACCCCCCCCTATGGGCTCAGAGTTTGAGGCCTGCCTTTCAGTTCTTATCCAGTGCTGCTGTTATCTTCTCAGCCGCACAATCACCACTGCTAATCCCACAATCACAGTTAAAAGTGCAGCCATCATCAGTGCAAAAACCCACACTGGAACAGCAGCTCCTTCATCTGTGCAGAGAACGGGATGGTCATCTACAAAACAAACACACAGGTTTGTAATACAGTGAGTTTAACTGAACACCATCATTAAAGCTCAGCAGCACCTGATTACTGCTCAGTGAATTCTGATTGGATAGACAGACATCATGTAAAAACATACCCTTTATTTTACCTCCACCTGCTGACCCCACGGTCACCGTGTAGATGTGAATGACCTCTTCAGTTTTTTTGGCTTTTGTAGTATAAACTCCACTGTCAGATGTCTTCATTCCTCTCAGCTCAAGAGCACAGGTTAGTGATGCTCTCTGTTTATAGTCATGTTTACAATGTAGTGAGCGTCCATCCACTGTACAGATGTGACCACTGGATGGTCCAGTTGCACCTGTACTGTTATAATACACCTCCACAGCATCTGATACATCCAACTCCTGCACCAGAGATTTGCCAGGCTTAATCTGAATCAGAGATCTCAAGGCTGAGGAGAATAACAAACGAGAAGAGTGTAAATCTGAACAGAAATCAGTGGAGTTCAGTCAGTAATGGTCAAAACAGATGGACACTTACGCTCAATCTGAAGCTTCACATCACAGAGATCTTTACCATCACAGTCAGATGTGTAGAGGCCTCTCTTACTGAAATCAGCTTCAGTGACAGTGAGAGAGAGATCTCCCTTCAGGTACTGATCATGGATCATCTGATATCCCTCCTTCACTGATCTACATGAAGTCTGATCACACTCAGCCAGAACATCAGTACGTTTAGTGAACACAGTCCAACTGACCAAACCAGAGCATCTCTCAGAGCAGGGCAGAGTAGCAGAGTCATGAAGATTCACCTTCACTGAAGGAAAATCTGATTCACAGACTGAAAAAAGAGAGAGAATAAAAGAAATAAATAAAAAAGTGAACATCAAACGACTCAGTATGGAGTTATTTTCACAAAACAAAGTGAAAGTAAAACACAGTGAAGTCTTTAAGAACTAATACTGCAGTACTTACCGGTAGTGACTATATTGGTCAGTAAGATCAGGACACAGAGAGCAGAACTGCAGGACTGCATGACTGACCTACAGAGACACACACACACACTATCAGTACTGACCAGGAGAGGAGAGAGAGAGAGAACAGAACTGACCTACAGACTCACACACACCATCAGTACTGACCAGGAGAGGAGAGAGAGAAGAGAGAAAGAGAGAACAGAACTGACCTACAGACTCACACACACCATCAGTACTGACCAGGAGAGGAGAGAGAAAGAGAGAACAGAACTGACCTACAGACTCACACACACCATCAGTACTGACCAGGAGAGGAGAGAGAGAAGAGAGAACAGAACTGACCTACAGACTCACACACACCATCAGTACTGACCAGGAGAGGAGAGAGAGAAGAGAGAAGAGCGAACAGAACTGACCTACAGACACACACACCATCAGTACTGGTATCAGAGAATCTGTGCGTTAAGTATTTTACACACTAAACTATCTCAACGTTAATGTTTTGTAATGAAAGTGGACATGCAGTCCACATACGTAATTAACCACCACATTACTCACCTTCTGGACACTACACAGAGCACGATGGAGTCCTTTTACTGCTGATAATGATCACTCGTTCTTCACAAAATTACACAGAAATCCCCTCACACTGTTTAGTCAGTGCGGCAGTCGTGGCAGGTATGAACCCTACTTTAGTGCCCAACCACTGGAACCGTACCGCTCTGTATCTCAGCAGAAGCAGCATCATCTGAGGAAGCTCTGCACAATGGAAAACACAGCTGCTTCCTTTAAAAACAGAAAATATCACGAGACACAAGAAACATCTACTGTAGCCTTAAGAACATGCACTTGTCGGGGTTTTTACACACTGTGTACACCCCCAGCCACTTCATCAGAAGTCCCGCCCCTTCAGTGCACACAGTTCCTTTATAACGAGGTATCAATAATGTCATTTATTATTAATGATATAAGTCAGAGTTGGTGTAAATGAGTTTATACCTATAATTTAGGTCTCTGTTGTAAAACCCCTGTAAGAACCACTGACTCACACTCAGCAGGCAAAACTAGAGAAGCGCAGTTTGTTCAGAGCTGCACTGTGTTTTGCTTTTATAGCTTAATATCTCCCAAACACTTATTTCACACTTACATAACTGTAACATGGCATTATGATCTGTGTGCTAATTGGTGAAATCAATCAGTCACAGAATGTAACATATCAACATATTTCGGACTGAGTATAAAATGCAGAATGTCCCATTAAACTAATGGATATTTTAGGCTTCAGTATTTCATCACTTTGAATTGAATTACAGCACTGTATTCAGACCCAGCCGTACATGTTCATCCAGAGAGTAAAGAAACTTTAATGCAATATTTACAGCACAAAAAAACCTCTCTCCAAAAACACCACCACATCAGAGCCAGCTTATCCATTAGTGGGGGTGAACAGACCCCTCAGAGACCCCTGTTTAAACAATCATGGTGCCACAATACTTCTGTTGAACCCATCATTTATAATATTTAGCTCTGTCTATCAGTTTACATTGATTTTAAATATTAAACATATCTGATATTAAATATGCAGTTCAGTTTGAAATTAAAAATAAAGCCTGTCTTGCTGTGTATCAGAGTTTTAGCACTCAGCCTGAATCCAAGAGGATGGAAAATCAATAAAAACATGTCCGCCTTACGCTAATTGTTTATTTTGATTAAAATTATTGCACTTTCAGTTCAGAGACACTCCAGACTGACAGTTTCTGAAAGGTATCTGAGGTGCAACTTGTTTTCAAGATCTCTATATGCAAAAAAATGCTACATTTTGCAGGCGCTGGGTACATTTTTGACCAAAAATGACCCAAATTCATAAAGATATCAAATTTCTGTTACATGTCAAACAATGGGATATCTGAGTAGCGCAGGGTCTCCTGAAAATAACAACATATGGCCTGTGTGACTGTGTCATGTAAATACTGTATAATTGTAATTGACCCAAAATAAAAATAAAAATCTAGGGTTCTGAGGGTTAAATATAAAAATTAATCACAGCATCAATAAATATATAAAATTAACAATCTCATCAGTAAATATAACAGCCAGTGATTACACTGAATGGTGCAATACTGGTGTATATTAATGTGTATATTGTTTATATGTGTAAATGTTTAGAGTCTAGTGTGTGTGGGTGTGCGTGTGTGTATGTGTATATATATATATATATATATATATGTATGTCTATATTGTTTTTTGTATAGGTGAGATCTTCAGTCACCTTCACAGCTGTGCCGATAAAAGTGATTTGATTTTAATTTAGTCTATCTAATAAGAATGAATCGGTAAAACAATATAAAGTTATTAAACAGTTATAAAGCATGTTGTACAGCTGCTCGGTATGACTGAGATGTACCTGCTGACGTTCTCTCACTCACCCTGTAAAACATCAGGCAATAAACACCGCAAAGAGGGCTGAAAGTGATTCACTGTGGAATTTTTTCTTAGCAGGATGGAATAAAATCTCACATCTCTTTAGTTGTCACTCAAACACAGATATGCAGCAACAGAACAATTAACAGACCTGATTTCCAAATAAGTGTTAACTGCTGGGGAATTTTCCACAGCATGACTAAGATCAAAACTCAGAAATGTGTGAAAAACACCCACTGAGAATTTCTCTTCCCTCTCTAACAGACAGAGACACACAGACCCATCAAAACCAATGAACTGTTATCTACAGGTGTAAGACAAATACTGTGAGGACAGATGTTCGACAGTAAAGAGATTCAGATTTGATCATGGGAGGTAATCTGCATGCCTTCATGATGATAATCCAGTTTTCAGAGTGCAGTGGGGCGAGGATGTTTTCAGAGTAGGTTGAAGATGTTGATGAACATCTTTCCTGTCAGGGTTTTACCGTTGAGTCAGAAAGTGAGAGGCTCTTTTCTATTTCTGCCCCCAGTGAAGTTGGTTTGATGTTTCCGTCTGATGTCAGTAGTGTTAGGAGAGCATCAGACCAGATTTCACCTACACATTCTCTGAACTGCACTATTTCATTTTACTTGCTATTTTAAGAACTTTTTTCAACACATTTCCCTGAACTGAACAGAGCATTAAGAGCATCTTCAGGTACGACAGTAAGGGACCGTCATCAAAGTGTGTGTCCTTATGTACAGGCCCTGTGCTGAACTTCAAAATCTCAATAGCATCTAATCTGTAGGTCCAGCTGAAACCTGAGCAACTGATACCTTCCTGTTACTGCAACTTACTGCAGCAGCAGAAATGAAGTGTTGTGTTGATTTATTATTAATATTTTATACACATAAAACCAAACAATCAATAGCTTCTTACTGTAGAGCCCAAATTTGTAGAAAACACTGTAGACTGTTCTGTCATTCCAGCTAACTACAGTAAGCAAATTTGAATTAACTCTAGTATTTAATTTTAGCTCTCTTTTCAACATCAATCATACCTGCATAGTTTAACTGTGTATCATTTAATATGTGTGAAGTTGAAGTCAGAGTGACGGAGTTTATCAGCTGGAGTTTCAGTAAAAAATTCCAGACTGGTTTCTCTGAACTGTAATGAGCTCTGACTTCTGGTAAAAGATGAAAATCCCTAATGACCACAACATTAATGACCATTTACACGGTGCTGCTTCAAATCAGTCTCAAACCAGTCGAATGAATTTAAGGTCAGTCACTGATTCTGCAATAATAAATGAACACATTTACTGTATAGCACTTTTCACACACAGAACACAGATCAGAATACGTCACAAAAGTAAGAGATTAAAGTAAAACAAAATAAATAAATAAATTCATTCAAAAATAAAATTACAAATCTGGTAAAAATAAGATAAAAATATGAACAATAAAATAAGCAAATATGATAAAATAAGATAAAAATAAATAGAAACAATAAAAATAAGCAAATATAGTCAAATAAGATACAAATAAAAACAACAAAATAAGCAAAAATTGTAAAATATGATAAAAATATGAACAATAAAATAAGCAAATATGCTAAAATAATATACAAATAAAAACAATAAAATAAGTGAATCTGGTAAAATAAGAAAAAATATGAACAATAAAAACAATAGAAATGAGCAAATATAGTAAAATAAGATACCAATAAAAAAAAAACAATAAAATAAGAAAGTATGATAAAATTACAAAAATAAAAACAATAAATAAGCGAATATGGTACAATAAAATAAAAAATAAGAACAATAAAATAAGCCAATGTGGTAAAATAAGACAAAATATGACCAACAAAATAAGCAAATGTAGTAAAATATGATAAAAATAACAACAATAAATAAGTGATAATACACAGTTTTAAAGGGGAAATGGAAATAAGAGTTCTAATATAAAAAATGACAGTAATTGGAACTAAATTTAATAATAATTGTGGTAGTAAAAATTAAATGAAAATAAGAATTATAAATGTAATTTTTTTTACTTTAGGCAAAAATGGGTCTTGAGCTGTTTTTGAAATGATGTAATCTGGTTGTCTAATCTTAGCTGGTAGATATTACACAGTGTTTCAGCCTAGACTGTTTTTGAATGAAGCACAGTCAATCAGATTAGAGCTCATTTACATATATCAGTCTTAAAGGCACAGTAACAGAAACAGCCTGTTTAAGGGATTAATGGATGCTGATAAACAGTGAACTATGACTGTTTTTGGTAAATAAACCCACATAAATGTAATAAGTGGATCTCAGGTAATAAAGTGAGTAAATATGTAGTTACTGGCCCTTTAATCAGGCCTGTAGTGCTGGATCTTAGAGGAGCTCTCAGAGCTTACAGAGACACACAGAGCTGTGACGAAAATGGATTAAGATCCATTCAGGATATCAGAGAGCAGTTTAATTTACCTGGCAGCTCCGTCTTCATGTACTTACAGCTTAAATCTGCCCTTCAGTGTTATGGAGCATCACTCAGCTCTACGTCACACTTAACAGGTAGTTATCTTTTTACCTGAGGCTTCTTACACAGCTCTTGGAGCGTGCTCAGTCTGGTCTAAAGATCTTATATCAGAGGATCAGGAGTTTGTCATAGGCTGTGTTTGGGAAACCATCTATTCATCTTCTAGAAACCCAAATCACCAAATTATACACTCGAAGTTCTTACACAGATCTGATTTAACACCATTAAGACGATTTCATATGAATCTTACTCCGTCTCCAGTTTCTAATAGTGCTCCTCAGGGGAGCTCGGCACTTTTGTGGTTTTGTTCCAAGGTCCTCAAGTTCTGGCATCAGGTTGCCACCGACCTCACAGCCCTGCTAGACTGTGATGCTCCATGCCCACCATCTATTTTTCTTCGTTCAGCCAGATCAGCAGAAACGACTGCTGCTTTGTACTTGACAGCTGGTCAATCAATAGAATCCTCCTCAGTCCATCTCGAGACGCATGGATTCTGTTTATGCTTGATACTGTTTCACTGGAACGTTCAGTTGCTCGTGCACATGGTGCTCATTGAGCTATTGATGCCTGGAAGACGGCGCCCAAATCAGTGGAGTCTTTCCTAAGCTCTTGCTAGAGTTGTTAGTACTTATTTGTTTATATATATATATATATATATATATATATATATATATATATATATATACCATCCTAAATTGAATGGGGATGTTCTGTGAATTTATGATAACACGCATGCTGACATATATGTTCAAATATATGT